AAACCAACCAATGTTCTCTCTCACCTCTCTCTTTCTCTCTCTCTCCCCCCATTCCTCTCTCTCTAAAATCAATAAGCATATCCTCAGGTAGGGATTAAAAATAATAATAATAAATAAATAAAATAGTTAATACTTCTTAACAAGGAACTGCTCTTCCACCTGATACACAGAGCATCTTTATTTATTTCTTTTATAACTAATGGTATCTATGCACTGGCCACATTCAATGTTTCCTATCGCAGTTCATATTTTCTGCTAGTTATTTACTGGAACAGACCAAAACTAGTGAGTTCTAAACTTAAATTCACATGTCCTCTCACTTGGCACAGATCGCCGTGTAATAATTAATATACTGTTAATTTAGTAATTCACAGAGAACAGAGGTGGGTGGAAATTAGAGAGTATTACATAATAGCCGGTTAATTATGTTTTTATAGTAGTTGTTTATTATTGCTTTAAAATTTTCCAGCAGTATAAAAATTAACTATTGCCTGGCTGGTGTGGCTCAGTTGATTGAGTGTCATCCCATTTGCCAGGAGGTCCCCGGTTCCATTCCTGGTCAGGGTACACGCCAGGGTTATGGGCTCTCAATCCCCAGGAGGGGGTGTGCGGGAGGCAGCCTGTTGATGTCTCACTCTCATCAATGTTTCTCTCTTCCCCCTGTCTCTAAAATCAATAAAAACATTTTTTAATGTTTAAAAATTAACTCTCATTAAAATGTAATGACTTACCTGCATATTATTTTAAGTTGTTAAAATTATAAAATAAGACATCAAGACTATTTTTACATTTACCAAGAAGGATAGATAATGGAAAACTGCCCTAGCTGTTTGGCTCAATGGATAGAGCGTCAGTCTGCGGACTAAAAGGTCCCAGGTTCGATTCCAGTCAAGGGCACATGCCTGGGTTGCAGGCTTGAGCCACACTAGGGTGGTCACATAAAATAAAAACCACAACTCATGCCCAGCTGGTTTGGCTCAGGGAATAGAGCATCAGCCTGCAGACTGAAGGGTCCCGGGTTTGATTTCAATCAAGGGCATGCACCTTGGTTGTGGGCACATCCCCAGTAGGGAATATGCAGGAGGCAGCTGGTCGATGTTTCTCTCTCATCGATGTTTCTGGCTCTCTATCCCTCTCCCTTCCTCTCTGTAAAAAAAAAAATCAATAAAATATATTTTAAAAATACACACACACACCACAACTCATTACCATATTGCATGTTTGGTTAATGAATGGACTTATTTCACAGAAGGTAAGGAATACTAAGTGTTTCTCAATTATTTGGGCACAAAGCCTATTTGTAGTTAACAGCTCAGTTAACAAGTATTGCTAGGTGGATTGATTTCCAGGTTGCATCTGTTCCTATATATAAACTCTGGGGATTTGTCCAGTAGATGATATATTGGAGACAGATGATGTACACATTTAGAAAACTGATTACACAAACTAAACTGGGGGGGGAGGAGGATCATTTGAGAGGTGAGGTATTCATAAAAATAGAAGCTTCTGGAATACGACAGAAGATCCTTGAGAAAATTCTAAGGCATTCAAGCAGTCCCGTTTGGACACTCAAGCACCAGGCAGTTGAGGACATCCAGACCTTTGCCAATAGGTTGGTTCTGGGGAAGAGACTCCAGGCAAAACCTCCTAACTGCCTCCTTCCCTCTTCCTGGAGGAGCAAAGCCCTGGTCTGCACATTCGTTAAACCGGGTAACGAGTAATGCAGCCAACATTTCTTTCCATGCCCCTGAAGGTTCCATATTGTTCAAGCACTCTGCAGCTACTCTGCAGCTCCTAATAAATGTTGGAATATATAGAAAATCCTTCTGTCAAAAATAAAGTTGAAGCTGTTCAATATGCGAAGAGAAAGTTAGCTAAGAATTCAGTTGAGGTTATGAAACTGTTCATGGCATTCATAAAGATTTGCATCTTAGAACATAAGCCAAATATACACTTAGAAAATAATCTACTTCTTAAATTTTTTTCATTTAAAAAATATATATATATTATTGATTTTTTTTACAGAGAGGAAGGGGAGAGGGATAGAGAGTTAGAAACATCAATGTTTGAGAGAGAAACATCCATCAGCTGCCTCCTGCACACCCCCCACTGGGGATGTGCCCGCAACCAAGGTACATGCCCTTGACCGGAATCGAACCCGGGACCCTTCAGTCTGCAGGTCGACGCTCTATCCACTGAGCCAAACCGGTTTTGGCTTAAATTTTTTTTCATTTTATTGAAAGAGAGAGAGAGAGAGGGTGGGAGAGAGAGATTTGTTGCTCCACTTATTTATGCATTCATTGGTTGATTCCTGCCCTGACCGGGATCAAACCCAAAACCTTGGTGTATGGGACGACACTAACTGAGCTGCCAGGCCAAGGCAAAAATCATCTACTTTTCATGATGTTTTAACTGAAAGTAATATTTTGAGCAAACTAATGCAGAAACCCAATTCAGTGCCTTTATGAGGGCAAAGAGGGACAGAATAACAAGATGAGTCCAAGTGGAAGTATGCTGTTTCCTGTCTGTGTGCTTGAAAGTACCTTCAGTAAAAAGTCCTTAAAATAGCACCTTAATGGCTGTGACAAAACATCCTCACTTTTCCCAATCTCTTAATTAATTCCTAACGTTTAATTACTAAAAGTGTTTACAAAAAAAATCTAGGTTCCTAGGGAGCTGGGAGTTCCTGTTGTATGGCCCTATGTCGATGCCAGGACCCTGCCACACCTTAGACTAGATCAGTGGTTGGCAAACTGCGGCTCTCAAGCCACATTCGTCTCTTTGGCCCCTTGAGTGTGGTTCTTTCACAAAATACCACGTGTGGGCGCCCTGTACAGTGTGATGGAAACTTCATGGCTCCTGCGCAGAAGTCGGTTTTCGGCTCTCAAAAGAAATTTCAGTCGAGCCGAAACTGGTTTGGCTCAGTGGATAGAGCGTCAGCCTTCGGACTGAAAGGTCCCAGGTTAGATTCCAGTCAAGGGCATGTACCTTGGTTGCGGGCACATCCCCAGTAGAGGGTGTGCAGGAGGCAGCTGATCGATGTTTCTCTCTCATTGGTGTTTCTAACTTTCTATCCCTCTCTCTTCCTCTCTGTAAAAAATCAATAAAATATATTTTTAAAAATTAAAAAAAGAAAGAAATTTCAGTCGTTGTACTGTTGATATTTGGCTCTGTGGACTAATGACTTTGCCTACCACTGGGCTAGAGCACTGGGTCTCCACTTGATTACCTGCAGTGAGGAGCTTTCTACCTGACATCTCACAGCCTCCGAAAATACCTGGAAGTTACCAGATTGAAGATCACACATGCCCAGACACACACATGGCCGGTCTCACACGCCCACACACACATGCACACACACATGCATGCACGCTCACACTTGCACACCCACACTCAAACTCACACAAGAATGAGGTGCTCTGCCGACCCTTCAGCCTCAGCCTGCAGATCAGGGAGCCACTGTGAACACCACCTTCCACTAAGAACCCCGCCGCCTTCCTGAGCCAGCCTCCACTCCCGGGGCCCTTGGCTCCACCCGCACCTGTGAGCCTGGGGCGGGGACAGGAGAAACAGGAATGATAATTTGGATGCAAAGCAGTTTGGGGGAAGTGGTGCCTAATGGGAGGGGTGGGGATTTGGCAAGATGGGAGGGAGGGAGCTACGCCCGTGAGCATCCAGAGCCCTGGCGAGTGTCTGTAGTTCCCGGGGATCCGCTGTCGAAGAAAACTTACCGGAACAAAGTTAAACAGGCCAGGAGACTTCATTCAGACCAGGGCAATCGGGGAGAGAGGCTGAGCCCAAAGCCAGGAAACAAAAGGGGAAGGGTTTCCAGTCCTGATGGACTCAGGGCAGGAAAGTTGCTGGAGGATGAGCAGAGGGAGCTCGGTCCACGGGCTGTGCCCAGCACGCCGCATCATTCCTGAGTCAGGTGTTAGTCCCTGTCATTAGGCCTCTGTGCGTGCTAATTGTCACTTGTTCCCGTGCAGCTCCTGCCCTCCCACGGGGCTGGGAGACAGGGGTGCTATCTTCCTGGGTGAGGACATTCCAAGGGGTGGCTCCCAGGTCCCTGAGAAAGGCATCCTGGGTGCAAAACTGGCCAGAGGCTGGGAGAAGACCTACCTACATTTCAAAGGGACAGACAGAGCATTTGCAATGACAAGTTTTCTGAAGTAAACGCTCTAGGAAAATGAAGGTCGGGACCTGTACTTACAGTCAGGAAGAAACCTGTGTGAAATGTAGTCAAGCTCGGGGGACGGGGAAGGCTGTCCTGGCCACCGCCATTATGTCAGCTCTGTCCCATCCATTGTGGGCCTGTGACCTTAGGTCTCTGAATGCACCCGGTGCCCGCCCTGCACAGAGAGTGGGTGTGATGCCTGCAGGCAGCTCCTCCAAGCGGGAGAGCTGGCAGGGGGTCTGGGCCCCAGTTCCGACTGCCCGCAGGGACACCACCTGCATGTCCCCATCGGCCCTATGTGTGATGTCCACACGGGTCTGTCTGTGTCCTTGGGGGACAGCGTGTCCCTCTGGCTAGCTGCCTGTGTCTCTATCTCATCCAGTTTTTAAAACTCATTCATTTAATGATCTAATAAACACTTACTAAATGCCTTCTGTGGGCATGTCCTGTTCGTCGGGGTGTCACCCCTCTTTTACCTTCACATCTGTCCACGTTGTCTTTCTACATGCCGTGCGTGACTCTGGGTCTCTCCCTCTCCCCCTTCCCCTCCCCCCTTCTCCTTCCCCTCTCCTTCCCACCCCCTTCCCGGCCCTCTCCCTTTCCCTCTCTCTCTCCCTCTCTCCTCTCCCTCTCTACTCCTTCTCCTTCTCTTTCTCTCTCCCCTTCCCCTTCTTCTCCCCCTCAGTTGACACATCCCCAAGAGCCCAGGCCCCCGGGACAGGAGTGCCCGGGCTTCCTCGTGGCCCCACCATGACCGTCTAGGAGGAGGCCAGCCCTGGAGAGGGAGGGCGGGGGTGGAGGAATCCTGCCAGGCCGGGGAGCTGGGATGCCTGGAGCAAGGAGGGGAGAACTAGCCCGGCAGAAATCAGAGCAGGAGGAGCTGTCCACGGTGTCTGCGCTGAGCTCCACGGCCTGGCAATGGGAGTCCCCAGAGCCATCCTGCTCTGCCTCTTTGGGTCTGTTCTCTGCCTGACAGGTAGCCAGACTTCTCAAAGTTAGCGCCTGGCCTAACTGACAAGAAGGGCCTGGTGGGGACCTGGACTCCTGGGTCTGAGGGAGGAGGGGCTAGGGGCCTGGACCCCTGGGTCTGAGGGAGGAGGGGCTGGGGGCCTGGACTCCTGGGTCTGAGGGAGGAAGGGCTGAGGGGGGCCTGGACCCCTGGGTCTGAAGGAGGAGGGGCTGGGCGCCTGGACCCCTGGGTCTGAGGGAGGAGAGGCTGGGGGACTGGACCCCTGGGTCTGAGGGAGGAGAGGCTGGGGGCCTGGACTCCTGGGTCTGAGGGAGGAGGGGCTGGGGGCCTGGACCCCTGGGTCTGAGGGAGGGGGGGCTGGGGGACTGGACCCCTGGGTCTGAGGGAGGAAGGGCTGAGGGGGACCTGGGTTCCTGGGTCTGGGAGAGAGGGGGCTGGGGGCTTGGACTCTGGATCTGAGGGAGGAGGGGCTGGGGGGGACCTGGACTCTGGGTCTGAGGGAGGAGAGGCTGGGCACCTGGACTCCTGGGCCTTGGCTATGGAGAGGCCTGGAGACTGTGTCCCCTTTATTTATGTGCCCCTATCAGTCATTTTCTCCATCTGTCTTCCTGCCTTTCTCATCCTGCTTGCCCATGACCCCACCCCAGGGCACTCCGGGAGCCGCGGGTGCTCCTTGCAAAGCTGTCAGGGAACTTGGCCTCATCCTCAGGCACCCCCTCCCCCGGGCCACAGTCCTTACACGACAGGGGCTGAGAGGTGGGACGGAGCTGTGTCTGCACAGCTGGTGGGCTGTGCTCCTCCAGGGGAGACAGGCAGCGTGTGTGTCCGTGTGTCCGTGTGCCCCCGTGTCTGGGGGCTCTGAGCTAGTGTGTGTGTTCCTCCGTGTCAGGTTCTGATGCCTGGGTATTTGAGCAAAGGCTTTGATGTTGTGTTTATCTCTCCCTTCACTTGTTCATGTATAATCTGTACGTCCGTGTCTCTCTTTGTATTGGCACACCTCTGAGACCGGCAGGCCTGCATTTTTCTCTGTGCATATGTGTGCACGTCACTCTGTGTACCTCTGTCTCATGACTCCATGTGTCTCGTATCAATGGCTTCAATGTGTACGTTTTCGTGGGTCTTTTTCACAGACCTCTCACTACGGAACTGTGGTCTCTCTGCGTGTGCGTCTGGTATGGCTTCCTGGGTGTCTGTGTGGGGTTACTGGTCCCACAGCCACACGTTTTTCTGTGTGAGTAGGATTTGCGTGTGTGCGGTGCTGTGCCGTGACCTCTGGGGTTTCTATGGGGGGCATGGCGGGGTTGTTTTGCGGGTGAATGGATGCCTTCAGGATGCTCTGACCGGCTGTGAGGTTTGCAAGAGCCTGCCAGTTTTGTCCCTTTGCATTTATGTCCATGTTTAGGGGTTCTGTGTGTGCATCCTAGGGCTGGCTGTGGATGTGGAGTTCAAGATCACACATCGGCTGCCTGGAGGGGAGCATCTGTTTTCCATCAGCGGCCTTTCAGTGCAGCTGAACGTCACGGGTGTAGCTGGGAGAGGGACAGGCAGAGCAGGAGTGAATCATCTCCTCCAGTTTAAGTCTTAGAGAGGCTCCTGGGAGAGTCCAGACCTGGATCAGCCTGGGGGGCGGGGGCTGGACTGGTAGGTGTCGTCTCAGGCCTTTAGTCTGTCTCAGGTAGAACAGCCATGACCAGTGGTGACAGCAGACCCTGTCACCTCAGAGAACAGCCAGAGGGGTGGCTGTCATGTGCAGGGTGGAGTCCCCAGTGCCTGGGACAGGGGCATCCCTGGCCTGCTCCTCTCACCCACCCTGCTCCTCCCCTCAGGGTCCCAAGCCCTGCAATGCTACAGCTTTCAACATATCTACTTCGGGCCCTTTGACCTCAGTAACATGAAACTCGCCAGCATCTCCTGTCCGGATGGATGCTCGGAGGCCGTCTTGTCGCTGGACACTGGTGAGGGGCAAGGAAGTGGGGGAAGAGAGAGAGAAAAAAAAGAAGGGCGTGCAGAAGAGAAAGGGGTTGGGGGGATAAAGACCAGGGTGAGAGCTTAGGGAGGGAGGGGAGGAGCGGAAGGGCTGGAGGAATTGTGTAAAAGGAAGTGGGCAGGAGAAGGAAGGAGTGGGAGGTGGAGGAAAGGGAGGAGAAGGAAGGCGCGGATGAGGGTGCGGGGAGGAGGAGGAAGGGAGGGAGACCGAGCCGCGGAGGAAAGGATTGATGAGGACAGGAGAGGGGAGGGGTGAGGCGGCCGGGGAAGTGGAGTTAGAACCGGAGAGAGGGGGGATGGAAGGCAGGAGGGAGAAGGAAGGGAGAGAGAGGAGCGGATGGGGAGACTGGAGACTGGAGAGGGACAGGGGGAGAGCGGAGGGCGAGGAAGAGGAAGGCGAGGAGGAAGGCGGGGAAGAAGCGCGCACCGGCCCGCCCCTCCCGCCGCAGGGTACCGCGCCTCGGTGACCCTGGTGCAGAAGGGCTGCTGGACCGGCCCGCCCAGGGGCCAGATGCAGTCCAACGAGGACGCGCTGCCGCCCGACTACTCGGTGATTCGCGGCTGCACGACCGACTGGTGCAACGCCGTCTACATGACCCACGACACGGTCCCCAACCTGAGCCCAGGTGCGCGGGGGCGGGGACGGGGGCGGGGGCGGGGGCGGGGTCCCGGGGCGCCTCCCCGCTCCCGGGCTCTCGGGCCTCCGCAGCGGGCGGGGCGGGCGCCCTGGGGCGGTGCGCGATCCGCACGCCCGCGGGGGGACCACCCGCTAAGGGGGTGTCCGCGCTCTCTCCCAGCGCCCAACCCGCCCACGCTCAGCGGCACCGAGTGCTACGCCTGCGTGGGGACCCGCCCGGAGGACTGCGCCCCGAGGAGGTCCCGGCGCGTCCAGTGCCACCAGGACCAAAGCGTCTGCTTCCAGGGCAACGGCGAAATGAGCGTTGGTGAGAGGCTGGGCGCGGGGGCGGCTGGCGGCAGGGCAGGCCGGAGGGTGGAGGCGCCGGCAGCGCAGCCGGACCGGGAGGCAGGGCCCTAAGGAAGAGCTGTGGTCCCCTCGGAGGGAGAAGGGGGAGAAGGCGCCTGGTCTGGAGGGAGAAGGCATGGTCCTGGCCTAAGGAGGGAGGCGTGGCCCGGTCTGAGGAGGGGGCGTGACCCTGGTCTGAGGAGGGGCGTGGCCCAGGACTGAGGAGGGAGGCGTGGCCCGGTCTGAGGAGGGGGCGTGGCCCTGGTCTGAGGAGGGGCGTGGCCCAGGGCTGAGGAGGGAGGCGTGGCCCTGTCTGAGGAGGGGGCGTGGCCCTGGTCTGAGGAGGGGCGTGGCCCAGGACTGAGGAGGGAGGCGTGGCCCGGTCTGAGGAGGGGGCGTGGCCATGGTCTGAGGAGGGGCGTGGCCCAGGACTGAGGAGGGAGGCGTGGCCCTGTCTGAGGAGGGGGCGTGGCCCTGTCTGAGGAGGGGCGTGGCCCAGGACTGAGGAGGGAGGCGTGGCCCGGTCTGAGGAGGGGGCGTGGCCATGGTCTGAGGAGGGGCGTGGCCCTGGACTGAGGAGGGAGGCGTGGCCCGGGCTGTAGAGGGGGCGTGGTCTGAGGAGGGAGGCGTGGCCGGGTCGGAGGAAGGAGGCGTGGCCATGGTCTAAGGCGGGGGCGTGGCCCGCTCTGAGGAGGGGACTGGGAATGAGTTTGTGGACCCACTTGTGGCCCTGACTGACTTCCTTCAGTTCTGACCCCTCCTCACTGCCATCTCCCCGCCCCCCCCCCACGCCTCCCCAGACAATTTCACGGTCCCTGTGTACATCAGAACCTGCCACCGGCCCTCCTGCACCATCATGGGCACCACCAGCCCCTGGACAGACATCGACCTCCAGGGCTTCTGCTGTGAGGGGCCCCTGTGCAACGGGGGCTCCGTGACCCAGCCCTTCACCATTGCCTCGGCCACCGCGCCGCCCCTGGCCCCGCACTTCCTGGCCCTGCTCCTCGCAGTTCCTCTGCTGGTGGGCACGCTGGGGGGACCCCTCCGCCTCTCCCCATAGGCAGCCCCTCCGGCCTCTTCGTGAGCAGGATGCTGGGGGCCGGGCACGCCCTCTCCCTCCCCCCACTGCTTCAGCCCCTGTACTGTGGGAAATAACAAAAATATAGCTTCCTTCCTGTCTCTCCCTCGCACTTCCCTGTGCTGCCCCACCCTCACCTGCTCAGCAGGCCCAGGGTGGGGAGACACAACCACATCCTGCAGGGCATGAAGAGCAAACCTGACAATAGATAGTATGTGCTGAGCACCAGCGAGGCCCAGCACCCCATGACCCCATCCCTGTGCTCCCAACTTAGGGCCGCTGGGGCAGGCAGCCAGGATGATGTCTTTATTATCATCAGAGAGGCTCCAGAGGCAGTTATCGTAAAAGCTCGGAGCCCAGGCTCTGGAGCCAGGCCGAATGGGTCCCAGCTCTACCTTTTAGCCTGTGGGGAACTTGGGCGCGTTACTTAACCTCCTGCACCTGCGTTTCCTCACCTGTAAAGCAGAAGTGACAATAAAACCTACGATGCCCTGACCCGTTTGGCTCAGTGCATAGAGCGTCGGCCTGCAGACTGAAGGGTCCCAGGTTCGATTCCGGTCAAGGGCATGTACCTTGGTTGTGGGCACATCCCCAGTGGGGGATGTGCAGGAGGCAGCTGATCAATGTTTCTCTCTCATTGGTGTTTCTAACTCTCTATCCCTCTCCCTTTCTCTCTGTAAAAAAATCAATAAAATATATTTTAAAAATAATAATAAAACCTACGATGATGACAGAACCTGCTCCCCAGTGGTTGTGGTCGGGATTTAACGAGCTGAGCGTGGAGCGCCTGGGACACAGCTGTCAGCCAGCACAGGTGGGCTCTGGTCACAAACCCTGTGTGACCGGTGAGCAGACGAGGTGGGAGCTCAGCTCGTGTAGCTCGTGCACGGTCAGGAGCGTGACTCCCAGCCTCGTGAACCACCAGGCAGCCCCACCGCCCCAGCACATGGGCGTTCCTTCATTTGGCAGAGACACACGAGAGGCAAAGCTGAATTAGGCAAAAGTGCACAACCTGGTGGAGATCGGGAAGGTGTCCTGGAGGAAGTAAAATGTACTCAAACTCCTACAGGGTAAAAGGCATTGGCAAAAAGCATAGAGGGAGGGGCATTCTGGGAGCCTGGACAGAGATCCAGAGGCAGGAAGGAGCCCCCAGGGTGTGCAGGACGCTCCCACGAGCACATGAACTTCACCCTCTGATGCTCCTGCTTTTCAAGGTCCTTTCGCATCCTTTCCCCCCAGGTGGTCCTCCCCATGACCCAGTGAGGCAAGCAAGAAGGGGAGTTGCACCCCCATTTCGCAGACAAGTTGCCCAGGGCACAGTGAGAGGGTGTGATTTTGGCATAAGTGGCAGAGCAAGGATGGAACCCCACACCTTCTCACGGTCCCTCAAGAGGCAGCCTTGTGGGCAAAGGGCATCTCAGAAACACTGCCACCCGCCTGTGAGGTCCAGGGGAGAAGGATTCCAGGTGTCTCCACATCTGACAGGTGAGCCAATGAGAGGTGGACATAGAAGGGGAAGCTGGTGTCATCACTCACTCAGCATCACGTTTCCTGAGCACCTGCTGTGTGCCAGGCGCTGTTCTGTTTGCTGGGCATACGGCGCTGAACAAAAAGCAAAGGTCCTGACCGTCAGGGAGCTGACCTTTCCAATGGGGAAGCTGACTTGGATTTGATTGCAAATGTGGTTTGAAGCTGGGAGGGCCAGTCTGATTGCCAGCTCAGCTAGGCGACTGTCTGTCGGTCATCCAAACGCTAAGCTCGGTGTTGCTGCAAAGGTGTTTTGTAGATGTGATGGAAGTCCGTGATCAGTGGCTTTGAATGTGGGAGGGTATCCTATATCATCCAGCCGGGCCTCATTCAGGCAGGTGGCAGGGCGTAAGGTTTCCTGGAAAAGAAATCTGCCTATGGACAGCAACTTCAGCCCATGCCCGAGAATGCCAGCCTGCCCTTCCAGACAGCCTGCCCTATAAGTTTTCAACTTGTCTGGTCAGCCCCACAATCACAGAAGCCACTTCCTTGCATTAAATCCACACACACACACACACACACACACACACACACACATGTATCTGCAACTAGTTCTGTTGTTCTGATTGATCCAAGACTGATACAGAATCCATTGGAGGATTAACATCAGGGGACTACCATGGAGATATATATATAATTATATATAACGATACAATATGTGTATATATTACATGTACATAATGTGAATACATATTATATTATGGATATTATGCAGTACACTAGAGGCCTGATGCACGGAGATTTGTGCAAGAATGGGCCTTCCTTCCCCCAGGGTGCCTGCATCACCTTTGCTCTGGCCCCAGCCACCTTTCCACCTTCGCTCTGGCCCAGAACGGCCTTTCTGCCTTCCCTCACTGCCCAGAGGCCTGGGGTGGCCAAGGGTGGTGTGAGATGACCGCATTGTCACCATGGCTGCGACGCAAGCATTCCGCCCCACCCCTGGTTGCTTGACACCTGCATATGCAAATCAACCCACCATCTTTGTTGGGTTATTTTGCTTACTCACTCCTGATTGGCTGGTGAATGTCGTGAAGGCATGGCCAATTTGCATCTTTCTCTTTTATTAGTGGGGACGTACTATTTACCTATATAATAAAGAGGGAATATGCTAATTGACCCTCACGCCATCACAAAATAGGATGGCACCCACGGCCAATAAGGAGGGGATATGCTAATTGACTGTCACACCCTCAAATATGGCAGCACTCATAGCCACAAGATGGCAGTGCCCAGTTCCCTCAGACTTGGCTGGAGTGGCAGGCAAGCCCAGTCGCTCCATGCGCCTGCCTCCAGAGTCCCCCAGGCCCCTCAGTCCCCAGGCACCCAGGGCCAGCCCGAGGCACAGGCCAGCCTGGATGTCTGCTGCCTAGCTGCCCAGGGCCGCCTGAGGCTCAGGTAACCAGGGTTGGCTGAGGCTTGTGCTGCTGGCAGTGGCAGCAGCAGAGGTGTGATGGGGCATCGCCTTCCTCTGATGGCCTGGTTGCCTCCCACCCCTGAGGGCTCCCAGACTGTGAGAGGGGGAGGCTTGGCTGAGGGACCCCCTGCTCCAGTGCATGAATTTTCATGCATCGGGCCTCTAGTGTATGATAATTACATATAACTTTTTCATCAGGGAATAAAACACATACAGTAAATGCATAAAGTGCAATGTTTCTGTGTGCATACATCTAAGTAACCTCCACTCAGATCAAGATACAGGACACTTTTTGCCCCCACCTCAAATCCTCCCTCCTAGCCCTTGCTAGGCACTTTCCTACCCTGGAGGTAGCCATTGCTCTGACTTCTGTCATAGGTGAAGTTTGCCCACTTTTGTATTTCATATCAATGGAGTTCTTCAGCGTGTTCTCCTGTGTGCATGCGTTAGATGTTAAAAGGACCCCCTATGGCAAGAACAGAAGCAGAAGCTGATGAGTGTCTGCTGTACCAGTCCAGGCATGTGGTGATGGAGGAGGCCACAGGGTACTGGACGGGTAGCAATGGGATAGATTTGATGGCGGAGCTGACAGGACTTGATACGTTGGTGGAGGCGTGCGAGGGGAAGAAAAGATAAGACAACTTCAAGGTTCTGGCCTGAGGAACAGGCTAAATGGGGATGCTATTTAGCAAAGAGAAGAACATATGGGCACGAGTGAGGAACAACAGGGGAGGGGGGGTGTTGGCCCTGGCCTGTGTGGCTCAGTGGTTGAACAATATCCCAAGAGGTCACTGATTCAATTCATGCCTGGGTTTCAGGCTTGGTCCCCAGTAGGGGGTGTGCAGGAGGCAGCCAATCAATGTCTCTCTCTCTCTCTGTCTCTCTGTCTCTCTCTCTGTCTCTCTCTCTCTCTCTGAAAAATCAAGAAAATAACATTTTCAACCAATAAAAACATTAAAAAACAGCGAGGTATTGGACATGTTGAATCTGATTCTGTTTAAACTAGGGCCACTTTGGCTTGCCGTGGAGCAGTGGCCCCATCTCCCCCTTGGTCGTTGGCCTCAGTCACTCAGCGATGAGGGCAATCCTCTGCCTTCCTGCTGGTGCAGTGGCGTGAGGAGCCCACAGGGCCAGGGGGCAGTCCCACTTCCAGTTCAGGGGACCCATCGCGTCCTCTGGTGGAAGCAATCCTCGCTGGGCACCAGCACCCCCAAGCCAGCTGCACCCCAAGTCACGGGGCTGGGAGGCAGCAGTTCTGCACGTGGGCTTGGGTGGAATCGTGACGGGAGTCCTGCCACCCCTGGGCAACCAGACCCATGTGCTCGGGTGACACGGGGGTCAGGCCGCATCCTGTGAGACACCACCCCAGCTTTTGAGGGTAGTGGCAACAATAACGGAGTCATTCATTGTTTTACCGGAGAAGCTCCTTCTGGGCGATGGGGTGTGAGGAGAGACCAGCGAGGCCCATGGTGTGAGCCCGCGGCCACATGTCATTTGCTTTGTGATGGGTTCCCTGGTAAGAGACACATGAAAACATGCTCAAAGTCACTAATCATCTGAGAGATGCAAATCAAAACAACAATGAGGTACCATCTCACACCCATGAGAATGGCTATCATCAACAATCAACAAATGGCAAGTGCTGGCGAGGATGCGGAGAAAAAGGGGCCCTCGTGCACTGCTGGTGGGAATGCAGACTGGTGCAGCTGCTGTGGAGAATGGTATGGAGTTTCCTCAAAAAACTAAAAATGGAACTCCCATTTGACCCAGTAATCCCATTTCTAGGAATATATCCCAAGAAACTAGAAACGCCAATCAGAAAGGATCTTTTTTATAGCAGCACAATTTACAGTAGCTATGATTTGGAAACAGCCTAAATGCCCATCAGCAGATGAGTGGATTAGAAAACTATGGTGCATCTACACAATGGAATACCATGCTGCTATCAAAAAGAAGGAATTCTTACCATTTGCAGCAGCATGGATGGAACTGGAGAGCATTATGTTAAGTGAAATAAATAATCCAGTCAGTGAAAGAAAAATACCACATGATCTCACTCAATTATGGATAATAACATTATAACCTGATGAACAAAAAGATAGATACAGAGGCAGCGAAGCATCGAACAGACTGTCAAATTAGTGGGAAGACTGGGAGTGTTGGGAGGTGGGGAGGTAAGAGATCAACCGAAGGACTTGTATGCATGCACATAAGCACAACAATGGACACAAGACACTGGGGGGCGGGGGAGTGAGGGCGTGTGCCGGGAGTAGGGGAGGCCGGGCGAAGGTCAATTGTGGGGGAGGGCGGAGACGTATGCACTACTATTTCTAATACCTTAAACAAACAAACAAACAAACAAACAAACAAACAAACAAAAAAGTAGCGCTGTGTGCAACTCAGTGGAGGAGAAGACACTGCAGTCCCGGGGAGGGAGGGAGCTTTTCATCCCCAAGCTTCCATTTATCCACAGCGGCTGCTTCAGACACGGTTCTCAGAAATGCAGCTGAAGGGAGTAGGGGACCAACCATTACCAAACATGAGTTTATCCACATCGGTGTCCAGCATTCACCGAGACCCTCCTGTGTTCCTGGCCACTGGGCCACGGAGGTGAGTCCAGTCTGATGGGAGAGGCGGATCCTTGCTCAGGCAGCCACAGGCCTATGGTGGAGGGTTGTGCAGGGACAAGAGGGACGAGTGTTGAGAAAGGGACACTTTGGGGCCAGGGCCAGAGGGAGGAGAACCTGGTGACAGGTCTTCACTCACGTCATGTGGAAAGAAAAGGAATAGCCTTCCAGTCAGAGCGACCAGCTCATGCAAACAGAGAGGCAGAGGCAGAAGTAATCTCACTAGTAGAGAGTCAACAGACACTTGTAATTCATCCCTCTGCGCTGGGTGACTGTGGAGAACCCCAGCTGTGAGGAATCCTAGGCCTGATGGGGACAGAGACGGAGCCCAAGTGGACACAGCCCTGAGAGAGACTGGGCACAAACAGGAGGGTGCTCTGCTGGAAGGTAGAGAAGAAACCTCAGCCTGGAGGGTTGGGGCATTGGGACACCAGGGGTGGCTTCATGGAGGATGCAGTGGGTTCTGGGTCCTGCGGGATGAGGAGGAGGTGGCCTGGCTAACAGAGTGTAGAACAGCATTCCAGGCGGAGGGACCGCCCGTGACAGGGTCTCAGGGAACTTGGCTAAATGGCAGAGCGAGAGCTGGACAGAGCAGGGACAGGAAGAGACAGGGCTGCAGGAAGGGGCCTCAGCAAACATGTAGAACCTGTCCTTCTGCGCGGGGTGATGCCGGGACTCCGTGATGAGTCAGAGCCAACGTTGCATCCTGGTCTAGAAAGAGACCCTCACGAACCCGGAAACTCACGGTGGACAAAGCATGAAGTATGAGGGCCAGGGATGGCTTCTGATGGGAATGGGCCTCTGAAAAGACACCGAGATGACAAGTAGGAATCGCAAAGGAGCAGGAGCAAGGGCACTCCCGGGAGGAAGGACCATGCACATGAGGCGTGGCCAGCGTATAAAGTGAGAAAGGAAGCTGAGGATGCAGAGAGTGACGTTTTCCCTGCTGCCCATGGGGGTCTCGGGCAGGGCATAGAGCAGGGGAGAGGCCCGCTCACAGCCAGGGGGTGGTAAGCTCCTCCTCGGCCAGGCAAGGCACCAACCAGAGGGGTGAGGCTGGAGGCAGAGAGGCCCACGAGAGGGTGGGGATGGGGTCTCCCGTTCTTAGTCTCCAGGGTCAGGGACCATATAGTGTGGGAGGGCTTATGGGAAGGAGGGACTGAGCACACAGCGTGTGTGTGTGTGTGTGTGTGTGTGTGTGGAGGTGGCAGGGGCTGCGGCTTCGGAGGAGTAAAGCTCCTCATGGGTGAG